AACCCCAAGGACTCCACCAAAAAAAAAAAAAAAAACTTTAGCAAATTGGCAAAGAGAATATTAGAGAGCAATAACTTTATTAGCTATTGTATTTGCAGCTTGCAATTAGTCTCCTTTACCAGATCCCATATCCAGTTCTGTGGTCTACTGAAAATAAAATGCAGAAATCCATAGGATACCCAAACCCAGATATCTTTGGCTATAGGCTTGATTGTACACACATAAACATTCTTCCCAGGCTTTATGTTTGTAACACTGAAGGTAATCGATGCCCAGCTACCACTTACCAACCCATGGGACCTAAGGAGTAAAGAACAAATCTAAAGAAAGTGCTTTATTTTCACACAAAAACTATTCTTTATACAGTATAAGAACTTCATTTCTGCTCTTATGAGTAGAGATATCAACAAAGTATTTTGAGCACCTAATACCAGGAAATTCAATACGCTTTAAAGAACCCAGAGAAATTAGGACTGTACAAAGCATTGGTGATGCTCACACTGCTGAATTGAGCCGATTAATGTAAATCCAAAACAGAAACGTCTTTGGAAAATTACTGTATAGCATATATTACAATATAACATACATTAGGACATGTGCCAGATCAAGGGATCTAAGTATTCATGAAAGGTTGAGCATGGTCAGCCAGAAGCCACCTGAGGGCAAGAAAAGTAGCAATGAATGCTTTACTCACACACATGCTCCCCCAGTAGAACACTTTTATGGAGTTCTGAGCCTTAACATATGGTAATGAGATATATTATTATTGTTCACAAGGCCTTTTTGCCGGTCTGATTATCTATTCTATGCTGTCCTGCTTTAAGCAGTTCTTGATTAAGGTATATAAAGGTTGGTCACTTCTACACCCATTAAACATTGATGTCTTTTGACCCATGGGATTATTATTATTCAATTTTAAAGAATTTCCTTGCAAGGACAAGTCTCCAAAAGTTTGTTCAGGCTGATTTCCCACTACCACTCCACTATAAGCCAGATAAGCAGGGTAGGTAATCTGCTGTAGTTGTTACTTTTCCTTGATTAACTTCAGTGTTTCAACTGAGTTCATACCTCCTTTTTTTTTTTCTACCCCGTCCCCCATATTCCCTGTGCCCCCCCCCCCCCATTTCTCCATAGAATTCATGTGTGGCAAAACTGGTTATGTGGATCTGGGACAGAAGTCCATTAAAAAAAAAAAAAAAGCATTCCCATGGGTTATAATCAGCACTTTGAATTTTAAACTAGTAGTTGAAATGTCCATAAGTAATAATGAGGTATATCATGTGTCCCTGAAACCACAATCTCATGACAACTGGATTCAGCATAAGAACAGAAATAAATAACAAGTTATTTTTAAAGTTAAATGAAAATTCAAAATAGCAAGATTAACGAAAGTTGGCCTTATGATCAAAGATCAGATTGGCAGATGAACCTTCCCTCACATATATTTACTGAAAATAAAAATCACAAAGCAGCTTCAGTAGTTTGCCAAGGAGATCACTATGTATGCATTCTTTGCATTAACGAGACTGTTTAGGAATTCAGGCAACAGCCAAATTCTATGATGGTGCTGAATCTTTAATAAGAGCAGGAGCTTGCAACCAATGTTACTTAAACTGAGTTGTCACTTCAACACCAGAACAGTGTTGCCTAAGGAAAAGTTGGCTAGTAGATCACATTAACAATTTCCTAGACCCAAATTCTATTCAACCAGAATTCAGTTTTAATCGTATCACAGAAACTATTTAAAACATCCCAGAAAACCTTCTGGTAATGCAATCTATTGTGTCACAAGAAATTTATTTATCAAATTTGTAAGGCTGCCCAATTCCATGAGAACTTTGGGTGGCATATAGTATTAAAAATAGATTAAACAACACATAATTAAAAAAAAGATGATACATAGTTGTATGAGTGTCACAAAACTACATCCAGACAGAACATTTGATAGTTGTATGCACTGTATGTTGTATACAGAAAAAACAACACCTGTTTTCCATGCGATGAACATGTAATTAACAAAAGCAGAAGTTTGAATGGTTGCCACTCAAAAAATACTTTCACGTATATACATTTCTAGGAATAATTCTGGGAATCAGCATGTGGATATAAATGGCATATACTTAAATTGGCCAACATTATGTGCATCGTATAGCATCTGAATCAGCTCTGTGGCTGAAACATACAAATACATATCTTAGCAAAGATGTATAAGGTTCCTCTTTGCACTTTATATTAGATATGAAAAAGTGAATCATATTTTCTCTTTATCCATTTCTGCATACCATGTGGAATTGATCTCAAATTTCAGTTGGACCCCACTCCCTTGGATTTCTGCCATACTGCTACTGTATTAAAATTAAATGTGTGTTGACATCCTCTGATTTTATTGACTGAAATAGAGACATCCAGTGATGGAATAAAAGAACCTTACTCTTACCTTTTTAACTAAATCTAACAGCACTAAATTTAGATTTTTAGTGATATAATATAGTGTTTTCAAACTCCTGCCATTTAGTTTTGGTTAGGGATATAGTCGCAGCTTTAAACACCATAATCAAGTTTTAGATATTTTTAGCTTCATGTTATTAATAGCATGTTAGAATACTACATACTCATCCACAGAAAATAATCAAAATTGATATTTTCTTTATAGTGCTGTTGTTTGATTGCTTCCGGTTTTTATGCTGGTCTTTTACCAAAATAAAGATGAAACTGAAACTGATCTCAGATTGTGAAAATGAAAGAGGTTAAGAAAATCACAGGAATTCCTTTTTTAAGCATCCATGGCACTTATCTTTTTGCTTTTGTGGAAAAGAAATGCACTGCTGCTCTCCTCTCCTCATGCTCTTACTAAAGATGCCTAGGCATCAGTTTACCATGTTCTAAATGTTTCTCTTATGCTCAATAAGATAATTGATAATCAACAGGGGGAAAATCAATCAATAAGTGGAAAAACACATTCACGCTTCCATTAATCCCTCAGGGTCCCATTATACACAAACAATCCCTGTAGCATTGTGGAGGAGAGAAAATCCTGAAAGGAATGAGTCAAAATTGATATTTGAACTAAAGCACTTCGCAGCTATGTCCATGTTTTCAAGCAGTTCCACTTCCAATTAAGAGTTAGGAGAAGGGGTGGGGGACTCAGAAAAAGGGCAGGATTTCTCATACATTGTACACATATGTGTACACATACACATTTCCCACTGTGCTGTGATCTACAGCTAATACTCTTAAGCAGCCTAGTCTACCAGAAAATAACACGTGTAATTTATGCATAGAAATATTCACATAAGAGTAAAAACAAGGAAACTATAACAAGAGAAATAGGAAACTAATCTCAACTTAGATTTCCTTTTTTTTTCTTCTTCTTCTTCTTCTCAGGGTTGCTAACAGCAGAATCGCTAATCCTGGCATATTGAAGCATTCACATAGTCCAAAAGGGAAAAAATGAAAGATTTAATTCCTATTTTATTTGCTTTTTTAAAATATGAATTAAAAACAACTAATAACAAATCAAGTGTATCTTCTTTCATAATTTTTTCCATTTAGAATTATGTCACCTAATTCTGGAAGAAAAGAAAACTGGAAATGGCTGGTGAATAGGAACCAATTTCATGCTTCATAGTTAAATGGCAGGAGAATAGCATATCTCTACAATAATAATTTTGCCAGTGCAGCCCAACTTTTCTCCTGATAATCAGCTGGGGTGGTGGTGAAAAGGCTGCAGTTTCAAAAGTTTTTGGGGGGGCGAGAAGCAAGGAGCCCATACACTAGCACAAACACTTGGAGTTACATTGGGTTTTGATCTGTGCAATGGGCTTTTCCTCTCAACAGTTATTATTTTCTGTTTAAGGAGAGGCAAATCACCCAAAAATAGCATATGCTGTTCATTTTATTTGTCAAAGACAAAATTCAGATCACTACAAGGAACTAGGTGGCTGAAGGAATTGGTGGGAGAGAACTTATCTATTCATTCATTGTTGCCTTGATCACATGAAATTAGAAAAGGATAAGCATATTCTGTTATCTTAATCATTGTATAAATGTAATATCTGTTATTTTGGAAGATTTCAACAAATAGTTTGTGATTCTTAAAAGAAGTTCCTCTATCTGTTTGAGAAACTTGGTTTTAGAGAATCACAATCCATAGCTCATAGATAAAAAGAAACATTTGCTGCATAATTTCCATAATATTCTAAGTATTATAACATTCCATTCATATTACATTATATCTGTTATCATTGTTAAAAAGGTACAGTATATGCCAATTTAGGGAGAGAAGGAACAAAAGGCTTTGTGGTGGGGGGAGGCAGGAGGATTACCTTTCTGTCGCTCAGTCCAGACACCTGGTCCACATATTCTTCTTGGATCATAAAGGCAGCCAAATTGGCAGTATAACTGGCCAGAAAGATGACAGCAAAGAAGGCCCATACTGATACCATGATCTTGCTTGTAGTCCCTTTGGGATTCTGCACTGGCACAGAGTTGTTGAACACAAGGCCCCACAGTAGCCAGATAGCTTTACCAATTGTGAAAGATGGACCACCAGGCTCTGAAATGGCCAAAATACAATAGAAAGAGTAAGAGAACTAGCACAGCAAATCATTCTAAGAGTGAAATAAAATCTTAGCTTTTCTCCAATATCAGATGACATGCTGTTGGCTAAAACAGAGACAGTGATTAGAATCAACCCACTGATTCTAATATAATTTATTCTGCATTAGTTTTCACCATAATTTATGTACCAACAAAAAATATTAGCTCCATGGTCCTCCATTGAACTTATTCTTGAATAAGTGGGCACAGAAATGCAATCTCAGTATTAAATATGATATAAATCAGAGTTTGTGGTCTGACCCAGCTGTATTCATTAGCCAATACTTCTTAGATGGCAGACCTTGTTAAGTTACTCCATGTGTTGGAGTTGGCACAGCCTATGCATGTTTATGCAGAGTATAAAACAACTGAAAGAAGCCATACAAGATCAGAAAATGTGGAGAGAACTGGTCCATAGAATCACTGAGAATTGGACACAATTGAATGGATAGCAGCAGCAGCAGCAGCATCACACATGCTTAAGAGTCTTGTGCATCTACACACATTCTAAGGTCTACATGAATGTATGCATTGCATAAAGCAGGTGCAGATGTAGTTTCTTTTCTACAACTCTTTTCCATCAATCTGTGACAGCCTTTTGTAACCTGGTGCCTAGAGATGTGCTGGATCTAAAACTCTTGCAATATCCTAACCAGCATGACTGATGACCAAATTAACTAGGAATCTGGTTGTTGGAGGCCTGATACATCTGAGTGTATTGGCTTAGGGAAGGGTGAACTAACATATTTTCTCAGTTATTAAGAGCCATATTTCATACAATATTCACATTTATAAATAGAAAAAATGCATTTTGCATACACAAGATACTATAGTTATGACAGTCCTAAAATGGAAGAGCTGCCTCGAGAAAAGTTGGGTAGGTCATTCAAAAGAAATGAATGAATAGAAACATGAACTTGGAGGCAAGACAGTCCAATACACTTGGTCTTTGAGCTGTAACCCAGTCACTGGCACCCTAATCATTAAACTCTGGACTGTTGGGAAAGTAAAAGACTATTTATTTGATTACCTCAAAGAAGGATAAAATAGAACAAAAATATCATCTTGTTTGATAGCTTGGCTTGTATTAATAGGCATTATTATACATCTACAAAAATTATGAACTGCAAGCCATTCCTGCAACTTAAACAATTGCAAGGCAAGGATTTATGTGGAAGTCAAACCATAAACCACACACAAATATGCTAAACTACTCTCAAAACCTTAGCATTTTTGAGTATGATACGCAGAGACAGATACGTTTCTCACATTATTTTTCTTAGATATTTAGAAACACTCCCACGAGTAAAAACGATTTCACAGTGATACAGATTCTGTAATGACTATGGAGATATATACACACACACGGAAAAAAAGTCCTTCATATTTTTTTTAAAAAAAACAAACATTGGCCCCTACAAGGTCATTATGATCTGAACCAAAATTATCCTTTCAGTGAACTACAAGGTAAAGACGTTGTCGTCAATATGAAGCATACATTTGTTAATGATGATTATGTTTATATGTAGGGTTCTGAGGTGGGGAAAAGGTGCTGGAATGTTCTCTTGGTAACTAGGCAACAACATTCTACTCTTCTTCCAGTTGTCCTCAACTGTTAAGTTCTGTTGAGGCAGTTGCTGGTCTTTTCACTTGCTGCTTGCCTACTAGTAAGCTGTTTGACTTGAATCTTCTCATATATTCTTGTATCACTTCCAATAATGAATTTTTTTACAACATCCACACCGTTTTATTCCTCTTCATGGTATAAGGTATGGCTATGCAGTAGAGATTTTCTTCAGTCACAGTTTTTCCCTTCTGCATTTGTACAGAACTTAGTTGAACCAATTCCCTAGAGTCTATTAACTGTACTATTAATATATGCCACAACCTGGACTGACTTTCAATAAGAATTGAATCAATGTATCTAATGACAAATCTGGCTCTTACATATGCAATTCAGATGAGATGTTATTATGAGAAACATTCATTTTGCATTTCTTGGCTTTTTGAAAATGTAACAGTGAGGTTTTTCATCAACATTTATTTTTGCATGCAAATTAATTTATATAGCAGCCTGTAATTTGCATTTTAAAAATTTGAATATGCAAGTAAGGAACATTTAAAAGAAAGAAAAAAGACTGTAAAATCGAAGACTTCAAACTTGTTTCACTACATGCTTACACTGAAACACTATTGAAAACTGAGCATTACTTCAGATTTGTGTAGTACAGAATTCCCATGTGCTATCAGTGTTTTTGTTTTTTTAATAAAAGCCTGTTCTGGGAATCTGATGATAGAAGCATGACTAGGATTCCGAATACATATTTATGCTTAAAAACAGATGAATTGCCTTTGGTAATCACACCATGGTCTATCCCACCCAGCATGCAATTATCAAATGCAATTATCAAATGCTGACGATTTCAAAAGTATTTCATGGCCAATCACTCAGGGATGGATCACTTGTTTTTGGTCCACTTGGGTTTCCCATGCCTTCATTTGTGTTCCTATTATGTTCCACTTCTGCCTTACTATGCAGGATTTTTAATATGCACAAAAAGTTGAATTTAATATTTGAAACACATTTTTTCATAACACTGCATATTTATGCACCTATTTTCCTTCAAAAACAAGTATTTATAAACATTTTATCACAAAATAAAAAAATATATATTAGCACCCGGTTTTGTCCTGCTTATTTGTTTTTGCCCCTAACTGCAGCGTAACACTGAAAGACATTCAAAATTTGAAGGATGACAATATTTCAGTCTGCACATTACACGTTTGCATTGAATTCACAGAGAATAATTCCTCAAGATTTTTTATAGGATTGCAAGGGAGTTGGTGGAAGTTTCACAGAATCTTCAAACGTATTATTTCATCATTCTGGAGATAAACCAGAATATGCTAAGAAGGGAACCATTTAACACCTTAATGAAGCCACAGCAGTACCCATCTCTGTTCATCTGATCTAGTATCTGCCTTGGTCCTCTGATCATAAATCAACTGGTCAGTCTTGCTCCCTTAATTTTTTATTTTCCTCTTCCCCAGTATTATAGAGTTTCAGTAAATTTCTGGTTTTTCCAGTCTTGAATTCATTTCACCCCATTTCTGCATCAGTTTGAAAATACTTCTCTTGGGAAGATGAAGAGAAGCAAGGCAGGAAAATTAATCAAAGCTTTCAAATGTCCATCAAGAAATTAGAGATAAAAGTAATATGCATAGCAAAATAGGAAAATGTTATATACTTGTTAGTACCAATTCAAACTGGAACAGTTCTCCAACTGAATATTTCAGTTTGACCATAATGACTTTACTTTAGAAACATTCCAGAAAAATATGCAGTGGATTTGGCTTCTAGTTTCTGGGCCTGCTGGAAATGAACAATCCAGTATTTTGAGTTGTGGAATTTCTCTTTCATCCAAAGAGATCCATTCAGATTCACTGTTGTTTGTGGACTTCATTATTCATCTTTTTCTTTAGGCATGGGGGGAAACATATCTGTACATGGTTGACTCCTGGAGAAAATCTATTTATGTGGTCACTAACAGTCAACACCAACTATGGTTGACGTGCATATCAATGGAGAAGAAGTCTCTTTCTGTCCAATATGGATCATAAAGATTACATGGTAAAAGATGTATCTTCTTACCTCTGCCATCAGCCAGACACCGATTGTATCCCACAGGGCTGAAGTACTCAAAGACAAAGACAGCCACCGCAGAGATTATAAGCAGCATAACAAACATCATCACCCACACATCAGCACTGAATGGCTCTGGACAGAAAAGGACAGGTAATTATTTCACAGGAACCTTTCCAACATACTCTAGAGTGCAAATCATTAGACATCTAATTATATCTTCTGAAATAGCTTGACTAAACTTATAGACAGAGTTTATATGCTGTTTAAAATGTTGTGAACTAAAACTCTCAGCAACTAAACAATGTTGGGTTGTTCTTCTTACATTTCTGTGACATTATTCTAGATCCTCTAGTTATGGGAAAGAGGGAGCAATCACTCATGGCACTGAAGCCCCACTAAGCTATTCTTTAGCATATGTGCATTCAGCTAGCATCACCCATATGTTTTCAAGCATTTCTTTCCCCGTAAGAATTTGAAGTTGGCTTTTATAAAAATGAATGCTGCAATTTATAGGAAGCTAAAATATCCACTCAGTACCACATTCTGCCATCTGACTTTCCCAAACTGCAGTATGCTCGGCATACTGCCTGTAGACTGCATTAATCATGAAGGCTGACTCAATCATAGGATTGTCATTTTTTTTTCAGTCTCCAATTTTGTGTCTTTAACAAAATTAAATGCAGAAGTTAAGCAGCAAAGGATCCAAAGAGACCTAAGCACATATAAAAGTTTGTGGGAAATAGGGGAGGATATCTTGTTGGTTATCTTCTTAGCAGTTTTCAGTGCCATTAATCACACTAGCATTCTAGGTTTACTATTCTGATTCTATTCTTACATACCAAAAAAATATTTTTTTTTCCTGCTTGCCTTTGGCTTACTGATTTCCCCAGCTATGCTGTCTAACCTATAGCTGAAACACATGGAAGAAATCACTGGACTTCCCACAATAAATATCTTGATAACATATGATTGTGTTTCCCTTTCTATCTAATTCCAACAAGGCAGCAGAACTTCCGAATCAATATTTAGGAAATTGGGATAGGTGAAGTGTTAAAACACTGGAACTTTATGAAGATAAAACTGAAATGTTGATGATCAGGAGAAAAGCCTATCAATGTTTAATGATGTGGCCTATTTTGGAATTGATAGAACCATCCCCAAAGAATCAGGTTCACAGTCTCAGGGTGCTGCTGGATCTGGATTGAATTCTAGATGGTCCAGTAGACAGCAGTAAATAGGAGCATCTTTCATCAGATTTAGCTAGTGAACCAAATGCACCCTTTTCGTAGAGCAAGCATATCTGTCTATTGTCATATATATTTAAATTAATTGATGATGTCTATCTCTATTATTGCAAAGGTGGAGAATATAAGGAACCTGGGCTGAATACAGCCCCAAACCTTATTTTTTAAAGAAAAAAATCCAAATATCTAAGACTAAAAAATTCTGTTCCACCTAAAAAATGTCACATGTGGCTTCTGGCAATCAAAAAATAGCCTATCCCTGACCTATTGCAACATGCTATACTGGGCTGCTTTCAAAAGAATGTTTAAAATGCTGTTGTCACTGCTAACAGGCCTGTTATATAGAACTTGTGATTCATGGCTGTTCATGATACTTCTAGAGTATTTCCAAATCTAGTTCAAAGTGCTGGTTATAGTATTTAAAGTTCTGACTGTTTTGAGGACTGAATACTAGAAGACCATATTTCATACACCATTGTTTATATGCTGAGACCTGCAGAGTGAGTCCTACTTTGAATTCTACCATTGTCTAATGTATAGTGATAACTGTATAGGACAGGGCTTTCAAATTTCTTGTATCTAGATTCTGGAGTTCCTATTACCAGGGGGATAGCTTAGGGTTTTTCAATGCATAATTCCAGAGTCTAACAAAGATTGACATAATTAATAGACCTTTCATAATGCTATAATCTGCATCAATTTCAGGGATTATCTAAATTATTTTGATATGTTTTCTCTGCTGCATGTACACTTGGGAAACTTAAAAAAAAAATTTGCTATATTATTGTGTTTTGCTCTGAGGGCTCTGCCAAAATAGGTTTTCCAAATCCTGAAAATAGACTGCTATATTCCAGAAATAAACTTCTGCATTTTTTTACATACAAGACAAAGTAATCTTTCTGCATGACATATTTCTGGGACCAACATCAAAAGAGTTGGAAATCTTATTCTAAGAGGTGGCATCATCAGGCTTATGGAAGTAAAGGTAGAAGAAAAACTGAAAACATTTATTTGAATATAATTATTCAATGATATTCACTAGAAATATCTAGCTTTAGAATCTGGTGCTTGTGTTTCTAAAGTTAATTTCTTATTCTCTTGTCTGATGTTGGTTCTTGAATCTAGCCCAGGCTAGAACTTCAACAAATCCAAGACTGCATATGAAATGTATGCCTATTTATTTTAATCAGAAAAAGAACTACAAACTACAAACATCTTGACATATTTTCCCCTGCACTTTGCCTCCAAAGAATGCTTTACCTAAGAAGGCAGAAGGCGAGACTGTCCCATTGCTTCGTGACACCATTACACTTATTCCTGTCTCAATGAAGGGAACAGAAAAATCTACCACTTCCGAACGCTCTGCATTTATGGTGAGGGATCCCACAGCCATGTAGGCACGTTTGGCAACCACCTAAATGAGGAGAAAGAACAAAGATTATTTTAGGCATTCAAGCTCCACCTTTGCCATTCTTTATCACTTCTCTGTTTTCCATATTGGTAGAATAAGGGACTAAAAATTCTTTATGAATAACAGGAAGTTTCAAAACAACATATAATTCCAATATCCATGACAGGAAGGTTGAGTGTGGAAGCACATGAAACAACAATGAACAGACACATATTCATAAGTATCTACATAACTGGCTTCCATAAACAATAGAAAGTATGGAATAAAAGAAGTTCCCAATTTACAGCATGATTTTAAAGACAGAAGAGAGAATGCAAGGAAAAAAAGTGATAATATATTCTGAGGATGGACATTGGAAGAGATCAAATGAAAAGTGTCTCATTATGTTATAGCTAATCAATGTAGTGTAGCAACTAGTAGCACCAGGGAGACCAAGATTCAGGTCCACCTCAGCCATAGAAGCTCACGACCAGTCATTTTCTCTTAGTTCAACCTAACCCACAGCAGAGGTACAACTTGGAGGAGGGAGTGCCATGTATTAACCTGGAGGAAAGGGGGGGGGGGGGGGGGGGGAAGGGTTATAAATTTAACAGACAAACAAATGGGACCAAAGGAAAGTACAGTGGTACCTCGGTTCACGAACGCTTCTGTTCACGAACAATTTGGTTCACGAACAGCTCCAGTCGCAAAATTTTGCCTCCGTTTGCGAACGCCGGATTGGGTTACAAACAGAATCCACGGCCATTTTCCCTCCCGTGACACGTGGTCGCGGCTTCCTGAAGGGAGGGGGACTCTCCCTCCAAGCAATATCCGCCTCCCCACCCAT